ATATCGGTACAGTAAAACCTCTTGGAAACACTCATGGAGGTACTTAAGCCCATGAGGAGTATTTCCATTTAGGTGATTGCTAGAAACAATATGATATTATTTTTTATTAATCTTTCAATAACTGCATTATAGCGAATAGAGAATATATAGCAATTCCACTCATTTTTATTCAATATCTATCTATCTATCTATCTATCTATCTATCTATCTATCTATCTATTTATCTATCTATCTATCTACATTTCACAGCTATCTTAACAGCATCAATATTCTGATTGTGTCTTTCCATTTCCTTTCACAGGGCCATAACATTTAAAGCAACTCACCCAGCATCATCCCCGACCAAAGAGCTGCATGAGGAAGGAAGTGAGTTGCCAAAGAGGACACAAATGTCTCAAAGTAGTAGGCATCTTTGTCCCCTTCTTTTTCCAGTGGTGCACTGTAGATCACTCTCAAGAAGTGCTCCTGAAACGTCCTCTGGTAAGTCTTCCTCAACAGAAGAGTCTCCACATCTTGTCAGCATAAGCTGGAGGTTTTTAAAATGCTTCTCAACATTTGCAGAGCTGCATGGGCTGCTGAATATCACCCTGCAGCTGAGGAGCATTTCATCCAGCTCAGCTAGGGAACTGGCTGTTGTCAGGAGCCCAAAGGTGTGCATGGCCAGCCTGTAGTGTCGGGGCGCACTGAGATAGAAATACAAATCATATCATTCTCATCATGGCCACTTCTTTGATAGTAATTGAATGTATTTGATTGATTAGATATTAATGTCAATATGCTGAGGGAAAGAAAATGTTTCACTCACTGTTTCTTGCAAAGTGTTTTAGCATTTTTCATTATGTGGCTCAGACAGCAATGGAGGATAGGCTGGCTGAAGTCCTCTGCAGTGCCATTCCCAGTCAAAATGTTGAAATAACTGTGCAACAAGGCACCTACATTTGTCTGGCAGAAGACCATCGAGATGGCCTGCATTAGGACCATGGAGCCATCACAAACTATCATGAGGAGAGTGACCTTTCTGTTTCCAAATTGTTTCCGATGATCAGTTTGGAAGGAACTCAGAAAATAATGAACTGACGATGTGGTGTGCTCACAGGTGACAAATGTTGCCACAGGAAAGGGAGAGAAACCCTTTTTCGGATTCCTCACCACCAGCTCATATACATAAAAAGGACGCGAGGTGTGTTTTGACCTTTTGACAATGCTTCCTGTTGCATCAAGGTACACAACATCCTCTTTGCAACGATCATGGAAAATTTGGATGCTTTTCTTTGACCACAGCATCACACCCATTGGCTCCAGAAGGACCTTCTGTAGAACTTCAGTCGGGTCAGTCACCCTCCTTTCTTTCAGCGTCATCTGTAGACTGAATACCTCATTTTCATGTTTTCTGACCTTCTTTCTCTGTCTGTACGTGATGGACTTTAGGACAGCTGGTGATGGGGCCTCATCTCTGCAGCCAGACTGAAAGACAGACTCTTCCAAGGCTTCCAGAGTCTGAAGGTACTGTGCCCTTGGTAGCTTGGCTTGAAGTTTTTCATGCAGAATCCTTTGCTTGTCTGCTCTAACTGGTCTGGTTTGTCGCTCTCTTTTGCTGTGAAAGCAAATGTCTCCTCTGAATTTAACCTCTGCTTTCAGGCTCTTTTCATTGTGGACAGGGGCGGATCTAGAAAAATATTTATAGGGAGGCAAGAGGGAGGCAGGAATTTCTTAGGGGTGGCAACCTACATCAGATGCATATAAACTGAAGCAGTTATCGTAGTTTGATGAGAAATAGACTATTTACACTGAAGTATTCCTGTTTGCAAGACAAATGGACTGCAATAAGGTCAGCATAAATACACAATGGAAATAAATGGGTCATGGCACTTCAACAAGGCACTGGACATTGCTTTTATTGATTGCATCAACATCAAAATCACAAAAAACCTGAATAGAGGTCCCATATGAATACATTTAGCTTCCAGTCAGAAAAACTACAAAAATATTTTGTAACTATGTTTATACAGGTTGTTTCTGTACAGTAATATACACAAAATAAGAGCTATCAAAAAACAAGAACAGCAAAATCACTGCTTCATGTTCAGCAGAATTTACACTATTTACACTGATGTCACATTTTCAACTCTTTGTTTTTAAGGTTTTATCTATCAGATTTGCTCAGTAACCAAAACAGAGATATACAGAAATTTAAAGAGCAGATTCAGTTGAGGGAGGAGAGGGTCAGCTAAGATTTCAGTACTTTTCCAAAAAACAAAACAAAACCTCAGAAATATGCAAAAAGGCAATTAATACATAACATATTCACCCTTTCAAGTCGTTATCCTGAAAGGGTCGTTGGTGACTCCTATCATGTGACCACATGACTCATGCCACCTGGGTAATGTGGTTCCAGGTGTGAGTGTTTGTGGAGCTTCCTGGGGAGAGAGCTGAGAACTGCATTGTAAGTGCCAGAGAGGTTGTGCCTGAGTCCACCCCCTCTGTTCAGAGAAGGTTTCTCCAGCCTGGTAAAGATGGCTTCTCTAACTCCTCTGTCAAACCATCTGTCTTCTCGAGCCAACACCTGTACATTGCTGTCCTCGAAAGAGTGACCTGCGTCCTTTAAGTGAAGGTGGACAGCTGAGTCCTGACCTGAGAAAGTGGCTCTCCTGTGTTGAGCCACGCGCTTGTGAAGCGGTTGTTTAGTTTCCCCGATGTAGAGGTCCGAGCATTCCTCGCTGCACTAGACAGCATACACCACATTACTCTGTTTATGTCTCGGTGTTTTGTCCTTGGGACGGACTAGCTTTTGCCTTAGTGTGTTACCAGGCTTGAAATGAACAGGAATATGGTGTTTGCCAAAGATCGTCTTGAGTTTTTCCGACAGGCCTGCAACGTAAGGGATCACAGTGCTCTTGCCTCTCTCCTCCCTTTCCTGTTCAGTGTTATTTCTCTTTCTGTTCTTTACAAAGGCCCACTTAGGGTATCCACAGGTTGTCAGGGCATTTTTGATGTGCTTCTGTTCCTTTTCCTTACCTTCTTTCTTCATGGGAATATTCTCAGCCCGGTGGTTGAGTGTTCTGATGACACCCAGTTTGTGCTGTAGAGGATGGTGGGAATCAAAAAGTAGATATTGATCCGTGTGTGTTGGTTTCCTGTAAACTTCAACGTTGAGACACCCGTCTGCCTCCAAGTGTACAGCACAGTCGCAAAAGGCTAACACATTGTCCTTGACATCTTCACGGGTGAACTTGATGTTGCTGTCCACTGTGTTGATATGGTCGGTGAAGGCCTCTACTTCATGTGTTTTGATCTTAACCCAGGTGTCATCCACATATCTGAACCAGTGGCTAGGAGCTGCACCTTTGAAGGAGGTTAGGGCCTTCCTCTCTACCTCTTCCATGTACAGGTTTGCCACTATTGGAGAAACCTGATGTCCTTGATTTTCTCGGCAAAGTCCTGTGAGTTTTTGACGTGGTGAGTGGTGTGGCCGACAAGAGGAGCTAGGATTGTTTTGGTTTCTTCGCAAAACTTTTGGCCGCCATCCTAACTGCATGATGTTACAGTTTGTGTTAGAAAATCTTCTTCCCATTTCTCCAATCATTGAATCCAGAACTGGATAATACACAGATACACAAAAAGTGTGTTTGCTGTCCGGAACTACATACTGTCCCAAAGTGGAGTTGATGACACTATCCTGAAGCACCTTTGTTGTCTGTCTTGGCCTCTTTGTTTTTTTGTGAGTTGTATCAATGTTACTTTGTTCACATAAATCAAGTATTTCAATCCACATTTCATCAAAAGAAGTTTGACTACGATATTTCACCAGTGTCTCTTTGAGTGCTTCAATAAGCTAAACAGCCTTAGTGTAGTCCACTGTTTTAGACTGGAGCATGTCAGACAAATATTTGGAGTCACTCAGGACTTTTCTGAAAAGAACAAGAGAGCCAGCAAAATTGAGATCTATCTGAGCCAGTATCCCTCTTGCTTCAACTGCTCTTTGTGGATGGTTCTCAGATGCAATCTCTTCAAGCACCTGTACTATTGCAGGCAACCTGTCCATAACATTGCGACATGCTATGTGCCTACATGCCCAACGTGTATCGCTTAGCTGTTGGAGCTCCCTTGGTGCACCATCAAACATTTCTTGCTGCACTTCCAGCCATTTGTTATGTACATAGGACCCAGAAATGAATACATACAGTCGTTCCAACAATGAAAAGAAGTTGCCTGCATCTGCCACACTTTTTACAGTATACACTATAACTAAGTTTAAGCAGTGTGCGCTACAGTGAACATAGAAGGCATGTTTGGCTACTTCTTTTATTTTTGCTTGGACACCTGCATGTGCCCCGAACATCACTGCCGCGCCATCATAGCCCTGACCCACAAGGTTTTTCTTGTACTCCAGCCCATGCCTCTCAATGAAGTTAATAATCTTATCACTTAAGGCAGCAGCATCCAAGTGTTCTGCCACTTCAAACTCCAAAAAACTCTCATGAACCACACCACAATAATAATATCGCAAAACAAACGACATTTGCTCCTTTTTCTGCACATCTTTAGTTTCATCAACAATAACTGAAAACTGCTTGCTCATTTTAACTTCCTGTATGATTTCTTCTTTAACCATTGCAGCCAGGCATTCAAGTATTTCATTTTGTATGGTTTTACTCGTGTATTTTGCATTTTTAGCTTGTTGTTCAAGTCTTTTTTTAATGATGGGGTTATGGTTACCCAGCAGGTCTAGCATAGACAGAAAAACACCCTTTTTTCGGAGTCTTGAGACTCCCTGTGACCTCGCTGTGCAGTGTTTTCTGTGGCTGTTAAAACTAAAATCTCTACAAGTGTTTTAATGTAGTACTGATTTTCAGCCACCTGCCTCTTTTTTTGTTCATCCATTACCCCAAACATTGAGCTGTTTTTATCTGTGTTTCTTTTATTTTCTGCCCATGCAAACATTGCATTGATATGGCCTTCAGATCTTGCATGAGAAGCAAAACCACTGTCTGTCATTGTTGCTTTTTTCCAATTTCGATATCCATCAAATGAAGTAAACACAGTCTTGGGAGTGTCTGGAAGGGAAAAATGACGACAGGCAAAACAGTATGCTGCGTCCTTGGACTGAGAGTACTCTAACCAGGGGTTAGCTTGGTACCACTCACTCCGGAAGCTTCTCCTGGCTCCTCCCTGGAGAGTCCTTGGAAAACTTTCCCTTTTTGGCTGTGTTGCCGGTTCGCATCTGGACTTTGATAAATCTAGAAGATGGAGGGGAGAAGGTTCACAACTATACGGAATCTGCACTAATTTAACAAAATAACAACTTAAAACAATTCATTATATTCATCAGACTGTGTAAACACACATACATAGAACATTTTAGCCAGGGAGAATACTTTTGGATTGTTCGATTTTTGGAATTTAAACTGAGCAATAGATCTAAAGTACATTGTACACAAAGTATTAATATTCTGTTACCATCTGACTATACTTAAACATTTCCCAAGTACTTACATTTAAGCAAAGATGAATATTTATTTGAAGAAGTTTAAACAATAGCTGTTAAATCGAATGACAGCAAAATGTCAATTTCTGTAATTGTCCTTTTTCATATGTAACTTGGTCAATTATGCAGAAACAATTTCCATACCATGTGGACCAGCAGCTCTACCAGAGGTCGCTGGTGATGGCTCAGGCACTGTCCTTTCCCTTTCCTGTCTCTTTGCCATCTCTATTTGGTGGTGCTCTCCTTCCTCCACATGTTCTCCCACCTCCTCCTGTCTATGGTAATCTTGGTCAGATTTTCTTTGCTCGCCTCTCTCTTCCGCCAGTTCGTCTTTATCTTCACCCTCTACTTCCACCTCATGCTTGTCTCTCTCTCCTTCCACCTTTTCTTCATCCTCTCTCTCGCCTTCCACCTCATGCTTGTCTCTTTCTCCTTCAACGTCTTCTTTCTCTCCTTCCACCTTTTCTTCATCCTCTCTCTCGCCTTCCACCTCATGCTTGTCTCTTTCTCCTTCAACGTCTTCTTTCTCTCCTTCCACCTTTTCTTCATCCTCTCTCTCACCTTCCACCTCATGCTTGTCTCTCTCTCCTTCAACGTCTTCTCTCTCTCCTTCCACCTCATGTCCTACTTCATTTTGTAGTCTGGCCCTCTTGAAAAAATTGTACAGGGTCCCTTTTCTCTTCATTTCTGTAAGATTCAAAGTAAATTTGCAAGGTTTCCCTTTACAGAAACTGAATCAATATTCAGTGTGTTTATAAGCTATAATGTGTGGATCACTGTCTGTGTTTATATGCTAGCAAGACATATGGGGCTAATTTCGGTTCAGTTTTGTGGGTTTTTAGCAGAAACACGGCCACTTTGGACTCTGATTTTTCTTCCTGTGATCGTCTTTACAGCCTGTGGCATAGCTTACACTCACACATGCCCAGCCCCATTATTCGGTTGAGTTGCAGAGAATTGAGTCCGGAGTGTAGTCACACTGTGCTTTCCTTATCATTTCGTTATTTGATAGATATAGGAAAATGGCTTTTACCTCTTTCCTCGTGCCTTCCTCCTCGGCTCCCGACTGTCTCTCTCTCGCTTCGAGCCCATAGACTGTATGTTCGCGCCTCTCCCGTCAAAGAAGTCTCTTGCGTTCTCGCGCTCTCTCGTACTGCATTCACTGTCGTCGGACATCGGAACTTCGCGCTCATAACGGTTACATTTTTCTATCGGTTCATTGCTGCCGGTTGGGGTGGCAGCAGGGGTGGCAAGGGTTAATTTTAGGGTGGCACCTGCCACCCCATGCCACCCCAGTAGATCCGCCCCTGATTGTGGACAACAACTTACGCCTCTGCTGGGCAGTTAGGGAACCTGCAGCATGCCTCACATTTAAAAACATGTCCAGTCCTTGAGGATCCCTTCACTTTGACTCTGTGCCCTGTAAAAGCAAAACTGCATTCGGTATGTACAGTGCATTTGTCCATTGTAGTCCCTTGAATTGGTTACATTGTTGTTTGTTCCTTAGTTTTGTCCAGTCTTCTTGTGCAATAAAAAAGAAACATGGTTGTGCAGGAAGTGGCTTTGTGAAAAAATCATCCACATCATATGAGTCTTTTTCCTCATTTTTGACATCTCTTTTGAGGTCATCACCGAGATCACACAGTACTCCAAGGTCTTTGTCCACCGGAGTTACCTCTTCATGCTTTTCCCCAATGTCATCAAAAATGATGTTCTCAACATAATCTGTGTTTACATAACCAGTCCGTAAATCACAAACTTGTGTGACCTTCTCCACAGCACCCTCTTCACCTTTGTCCTTTTCCCCACAAACAGATCCATCTGCAGCAGTACTTTCACTTGATCCCTGATAATTTTAAAAGAACTATTATAACAGGTGTACAAGTAACTGCATTCTAGAACGATTCCAACTGGCCTGACCTGAATAAGGAAAAAAATAGGTAATCTGCATACACTTTAATAATGACATGTGGATATGCTATTTATTAGTATAAAGCCAAGAATACAGCAGAATGTATAAGAAAGAAAAATTAAGCTTTTTTTAATAGAAAAATGGGGAAATCAAGCTTATTCTGAGAATTTATTGATTCAGGAGTTACGAGTTTGATATAGGTGTGAGGAAATGCATACAATACCAATGTAACATACCTTGTATGCCCTTTTAAGTCGGTAACAATTGCTATTTGTATTTGGTACGCCTAAAGATTTGGTTACCGCCTCCCAAAACTTTGGATCTATTGAACAGCATTCCACTGTTTTCCATGCTGCTGTTTTTCTGACTTTTTTAATCCCTGCAACAATCTGTTGCACAGATACTACTGTTCTTCTGGACTGTTGAGGAAAATGAGAAAGCAGGAAAATGTACAATATTAAACACTTATTTTGTGATTATGACTTGTAAGTAAAAGATGAAAAAGTTTTTATAAGTTTTTTTTATTTTATTTTTTAACTTGCACAAGATACATTTTCAACACGGTCCCACCCCACTGCACATAAGGTAATGTTAATGTAATTACACGTTATATTGCAATGCATTCTTGATTGTTGGCAATGTAACAAGGGTCTCTCTCCCAGGCTTTTTATTAACCATTACAGTTTTCTATCCTGAATGTTTTAAAAATTATTTTTGGACCTCAACATTTTCCTCTAATGCATGTATGATGACACACAAAACAACCAACCAAAGTATATAAACGAAGAGCCAGGATCTAATCAATAACATTGTGGTTACAAGACTGTCACGCTATCATTTAGTCTATCATTTAACCCAAGTACCGACCTTTCCAAATGAGGTAAAGACAAGTCTAAGGAGAAAAAAACAACAACAAAATAAATACATATTCTAAGGTAGAATCAAGTGCAGTCATACTGTTGTTTCATTTGCATTCTGTTTCTTCAAAAAATAAAAACCACTGAAGAAGTAATGAATGATTTGAAATTTAAAATAATCATATCAGTAGAGGATCAGAAGACTAACTTACCCTTTTTCATCCTTTGGTTCTGTAATTGTTATTTTAATATCTTTGTTAGAACTGCTTGAGTTGCCCCCCACAACAGACTTTCCTACCAACATATCAGTTAATTATTTTGTCTAGACTTCCTTATTTCCTAGCAAGATACAACATCCTGCAGGATACTCCAGGTGTGAAACATCCTCACCATCACCCCAGGGGGGTGGAGTGACGGTCCCCACAGAAAACAAAAGATGCCAACATCAAAGCCCCATACCTTGGCCTCTGAGGGGCGGTCCTCAAGCATAAATGTTCATGTTTACCCATGTTCTGGGTCTTTCTGGATTCTGACCGCTCGGATGCAGATTGACCTTTTCTTTGCAAAGAAAATAAAACCGTGTCGGCCACAGAAGTCTCTATTTCATTCTCCACCAGCAGCGACGGGAAGAAAAACTTCCACGACAGTTCCATCATGACCAACATGACCAACATGACCAACGTGGTTGCGTTCTTTTTTTACATTTTAAGGCCCGAACTACACGAAGGCAGATATATTTCAAACCGCACATATTTATGTCCGATTAGGCCTCCCTACCACACCAAACCAGGAGTTTGGAGCACTCAAACCGGATAAATCTGAATCCAGAAAAACAAGCGGAGAAATAAAAAAATATCCGTATCCCGTATCCGCAGTGGATTCGTGTGGTTGGACTTTTACGGATCGATGACGTCAAACCGCAGCTCGCGCATGCGCATCAAAAACAAAAACAATAACAACAACGATGGCGGACATACAGGGTATTCTTTACGTTTGTTTTGCCCTTTTGGGGCTAATTTCAGCCTTGCAAGTGAACCTTATTTTATACAATCACATCCACCAGTCAGCCAGCTCACAGAGGCGTCTGCTGCGCCCAATACTTTTTTTGGAGAGCAATCGTAACGTTAACGTTAGGCGTTTTAAAGTTCGCCAGAAGCGTAAGTTTCGGGTCAAACCCGGTCGGACCAGCAAGTGGTGGGACAACTTCGTTAGAGGGGCTGTGCCTGCAGATGAATGGAAGCTAAACTTTCGTATGTCAAAGCGGCACCAGATAGGATTGAGTTTGAAGCCTACGTGTGGACGCAGGTATTTTTTTGAACTAACACGTGTGGACAGGTACATTTATTTAGATGGGAGTACAAAAATATCCAGATAAATAAATATCCGCCTTCGTGTAGTTCTGGCCAAAGTCGGTGTGCAAACGTTTGACTTTTCCAGATTTTTTTTATTGATAGGGAAGAAAAATAAACAAAGAGGTCATGAAAGTCATGGTGAAGTTGGTTGGATCATGAGGAAGATTTCCATTTAGGTGATTGTTGAAAACAATATGATTTCACTTTTTTATTCATTTTTCAATAATTGCATTATAGCAAGTGGAGAATATGTAGCAATTCCACTCATTTTTATTCAATATTGGTACAGTAAAACCCCTTGGAAATATTCATGGAGGTACTGGGGCCCATGAGGAATATTTGCATGTAGGTGATTATTGAAAAAATTAGGATTCTATTTTTTTTTTATTAATTTTTCCTTAATTGCATTATAATGAATGGAGAATATGTAGCAATTCCACTCATTTTTATTCAATATTGGTACAGTAAAACCTCTTGGAAACCTTCATGGAGGTACTTGAGACCATGAGGAATATTTCCATTTAGGTGATTGTTAAAAACAATATGATATTATTTTTTTATTCATCTTTCAATAATTGCATTATAGTGAACGGAGAATATTTAGCAATTCCACTAATTTTTATTCAATATTGGTACCATAAAACCCCTTGTAAATATTCATGGAGGTATTGGGACCGATTAGGAATATTTCTATTTAGGTGATTGTTGAAAACCATACGATTTTTATGTTTTATTAATTTTTCCATAATTGCATTATAGCGAATGGAGAATATGTAGCAATTCCACTCAATTTTATTCAGTATTGGTACAGTAAAACCTCTTGTAAATATTAATGGAGGTACTGGGGCCCATGAAGAATATTTGCATGTAGGTGTTTCTTAAAAACAATAAGATTTTTTTAAATTAATTTTTCAATAATTGCATTATAGCGAATGGAGAATATGAAGCAATTCCACTAATTTTTATTCAATATTGGTACCATAAAACCCCTTGTAAATATTCATGGAGGTATTGGGACCGATTAGGAATATTTCTATTTAGGTGATTGTTGAAAACCATACGATTTTTATTTTTTATTAATTTTTCCATAATTGCATTATAGCGAATGGAGAATATGTAGCAATTCCACTCAATTTTATTCAGTATTGGTACAGTAAAACCTCTTGTAAATATTAATGGAGGTACTGGGGCCCATGAAGAATATTTGCATGTAGGTGTTTCTTAAAAACAATAAGATTTTTTTAAATTAATTTTTCAATAATTGCATTATAGCGAATGGAGAATATGAAGCAATTCCACTAATTTTTATTCAATATTGGTACCATAAAACCCCTTGTAAATATTCATGGAGGTATTGGGACCGATTAGGAATATTTCTATTTAGGTGATTGTTGAAAACCATACGATTTTTATTTTTTATTAATTTTTCCATAATTGCATTATAGCGAATGGAGAATATGTAGCAATTCCACTCAATTTTATTCAGTATTGGTACAGTAAAACCTCTTGTAAATATTAATGGAGGTACTGGGGCCCATGAAGAATATTTGCATGTAGGTGTTTCTTAAAAACAATAAGATTTTTTTAAATTAATTTTTCAATAATTGCATTATAGCGAATGGAGAATATGTAGCAATTCCACTAATTTTTATTCAATATTGGTACAGTAAAAGCCCTTGTAAATATTCATGGAGGTATTGGGACCGATTAGGAATATTTCTATTTAGGTGATTGTTGAAAACCACACGATTTCTATTTTTTATTAATTTTTACATAATTGCATTATAGCGAATGGAGAATGTGTAATATGAGCAATAATTTGTATTGATTATTGTTTTTTTTTTGTTAGTGAATGCAAATGAACAAACGAGGCATTCGTATTTTAATTATGTTTATTGTTTATTAATAACATTCATTTATACAGTAAAACACATTGGAAATGATCACAAAGCCACTTGACTACGGAATCCAGAAAATGTCATTTACTTACTCCCTTGAACGCAAGAGCTACGGTATGGCTTCCAGTAAAGGCGCAGCAGGTTTTGAAGTGCAGAT